ATATATATATATATATATTCTATATATATATATATTATGCGCTTGGTGTGTGTGTGGGTGGTGTGTGTGTGTGCGTGCGCTGGCTCGTGCGTCGCGCGTGTGGGCGTGCGCGTGTGTGTGCGTGCGCGGTGTGCGTGCGTGCGTGTGCGTGCGTGCGCGTGTGTGTGCGTGCGCGAGGTCTGTCTGATTATCATATTAAATATACACTTCTTGTCCTTTTCAGTTTCAGATCGTCACACAGCGCCATCTATCATTTCAAAATTCGAGACTAGCTTGAGGATGGCAAATTTCCCGTTGCCATCGAACTTGTCGTAAAGGGAAAGACGGGCGGGCGCTGTGTTGAGGCGCAGTCAGTACACGTAAGATATCACCATCAACGGCAAGACGTCGTTCACGCATGCCGAGCGTACATAAATCCGAGTTTCACATCTATCCGCTAGTCGGCGCGCTGCGCGACGAGTTCTCGAAGTGCGTGAACGCGGTGTGCGCCGTCGACGCTTACGTCGGCCTAGACGCGCACGGCGCGCCGACGGGCGACGCTCGTAATGGATGCCGCCGGCTCAGCAGCCGATCTGTTCTACTACGGCATCACTCCCACACCGTCTCGGCCTATTCACGAGCGGTGGCGCGCGCGTCGCGAGGAAGCGCGCCGGCAGTGGCGTCGAGCGGCGATCGACGGACGCGAGCAGTCGTGCCAGGTTCACGCATGTCGATGGCATTCGCCGACATAGCTGGTCATGGGTGCTGCAAGCCGCTCCGAGTCAGCCTCAACTACTGCAGCGGCCATGGGGCCGGCGAGCACCTTATCACCAACTCGCGCTTCAACCTCACCAACCACGCCTTCTTCGCGCTATGTACGAGATCCTGACGTTAGCGTCGCAAAAGATAATCAAAAGACCATGAAACAGTAGAACATAAAAGGCTGAACATAAACGGCATATAAATTTAACGTAAAGTAATTTAACATAAAGTAATGTAAAGTAACATAAAGTAATTTAACATAAAGTAAGAGCTAAAAAGGTGAAGTAAGTAAACGTAACGTATAACATAACATAACATAACATAGTTTAACACAAGAGAAGTTACACTGTAAAATCTGATTAGAAAAGACTTATAGCAGATGAGACAAGGTAAGATAACGTGACATAACTTTGAAATAAATGAATATATGAGAGACAGATCGTATGATGATGTTTTACGTATCATGCTCTACGGGACTACACGATAATATTTTTATATAAGCCGCTCACGCAGACTACCTTATCATGTAACTTTAGCCAATGTGAGAGACAGGACTAGGCGATGTGTGTAGAGAAATGCGAGAAAATAATGTTATGTTAGCGGAGTGGCTGACTCGAAGACTGTATAGTCAATTCGCCCTCCCTCGCCGTACTTATTTAAAAAAACTTGTTGTGATATATGTAAAAATGTAATATACTTGAAAGCGTAAATAAATTTTAAAATCTAAATCTAAAAAAATCTTTTTAAAATCTAAATAAATGCACAGGTGAAAGTAAAGCATCGTATTCAAAGAAAAGATATTATGTAAATATCGTAGGACATACACAAATTGAGCAGAATATCTCTTGTATAAGACATCGCAGTATACTGTTTTTCAATATATACATATGTAGACAAATATAGACATATATTGTGCTCATCGTATGTTGTGGGATACCGCGCGTTCTCTGCGGTGCTTTCATGACTAAAGAAAGTTATATGTAGGCCCCTACATGTTTTAGAATTTAGATTATTTAGATGTTTTAGAAAGTAGAGATTAAGCGATGCTATAAACCTTAATAAATACAGTAGTAGAACAATAAGTTTTAATGGGAGAATCTGATTAATATACATTATTACGCAACGTGAACATTAAGATTACGGCAATGAGAACGGTAATTTTACGAGGATAGTTAAGATAACGAAACGCTGCACGATAAAGTGAATATTGCAGACAGACTTGAGTTTACCTATGGTATCTACTATGCTATATTATAAAGCACATTGTTCTGTACATATCGTATTTCGCTCGCAAAGGAACACATTTGGCCGGCTCGTCTACTAATATATATATATATATATAGTGTGTGTTTGTGTGCAGTTATCGGTACGGTTGACGCACGCACGCATGCGACGTGGGATCACAACGAAGCACTTAAACCGCACGCTTTCACTGCATATCTGGGTGCATGTATACACGCTTGCCGCGCTCAATGGGCGTAATACTGCCTACTATTCGCGCTGGTATTCCGAAAACGCGGGGACGTATTAGGGTCATTATATGCACACGCGTGCGGGCGTGCGCGCGCGCGTGCGTGCGTGCGTGCGTGCGTGCGTGCGTGCGTGCGAACTGGTTTACGAAATACAAGGCGATTCGCGTCAGTTTCGTGTTAAAACATTTTAGCTGTGTCACTGTTTAGCTGCTTAGCTGTTTAGTTGGATATATTACCCCTTGGTTAACGGTTTTGCTGGTGATTTGTTTGCTTAGATATCTATTTGGTTGGTTATGTGTATCGTTGGCTATCAGTTTAATTGGTTGCGTGCTTGACTGGTTGGTTATCTGCTTGGTTGGTTACATCGATATTTTGCATATATTTCGCTCTGTCCACATATTCGTATATGCTAGATTGACCCGGATACATATACGACCGAGATTACGCTTTATTGTCCCTATCATGTGATTACAATAATTAATCTGCATACACACGCGATCGCTAATGCAACCGTGTGTGCATCCATGACAATTGCACTAGGTCTAAAAAACAATTGGTCTGTATCAGTAGGTTGTGGGGAGTATGTGTAATGGACTAGGTATAGGAGGGTACGTGGGGGAGTAAGTGTGGGAGAGTAGGTGTAGGGAGTACGTGGGGGAGTAAGTGTGGGAGAGTAGGTGTAGGAGGGTACGTGGGAGAGTAAGTGTGGGGGAGTAGGTGTGGGAGGGTACGTGGGGGAGTAAGTGTGGGAGAGTAGGTGTGGGAGGGTACGTGGGGGAGTAAGTGTGGGGGAGTAGGTGTGGGAGGGTACGTGGGGGAGTAAGTGTGGGAGAGTAGGTGT